CACACACACACACGCACGCGCGCGCGCGCGCGCGCACACACACACACACACACACACACACACACACACACACACACAACAGTTGTTCCAAGAAGAAATCAATTGTGAATCGCGCCCCTGCACTCTCTAGTTATGCATACAGTTGAGAATCAGCAATCAACCGAGTCGCTTCAAAGATGATCAATCAGCATAAAGCCAAACTGATTCTTGTGATATTGAAATGCAAACTTTTCAGGATGGCACTTTACAGAAAACGTTCAAGGAGGATGCATGACTGCTCTACTGACGAACAGTTGACAGCTGTGCTCACTTGAAACGAGGGCATACTCGCACCAGCCCATTTTTTTACTGAATCTGCCTGTGAGTTTTCTCAAGATAGTTTGAGGAAAGTCTCAGTGTGAGTATGCCCAGAGGATCCATCTCAGACTGTCAAGTTCCGATCTTCCCATGACTCGTTGCAAGTTTGACAAAACAGTTCGTGAACTTGTCGACCTCTGCTTGAAGGTGACTGTCCGTGAGCACAAAGAGAGTCCATAGAACGTCAACGACACTTTCAGCATTCAATTTCAGAGCAGAAATCATAAGAAAAAAATGCACAAGACCCACCTCGGTTCCCCTCTCCTCCACGCATCCCAGCCAACAACCGCCCGTAATGCCCCCACTCCCACACGTCCCCCCCCTCGCAACCACCCATAGAACGTCAATTACACTTTCAGCATTCAATTTCAGAGCAGAAATCATAAGAAAAAAATGCACAAGACCCACCTCGGTTCCCATCTCCTCCACGCATCCCAGCCAACAACCGCCCATAATGCCCCCGCTCCCACACGTCCCCCCCTCGCAACCACCCCCTCCCCCCACTTCCCACGGCCAACAACAAACCATGATGTGTGGTTTCAATCACACCCAATCACGCGTATCAAGACATAGATGCGGAGAACGCTAAGAGTGGAACAAGAAAAATGAGTCGATACCACAGGCAGGCTGCTCTAAACAATGGGTTTCCCTTGAGCAAAAAGGCAAAAAGGCAAAGAGAGAGAGCAAGAGAGAGAGAGAGAGGATACCACAAAGAGTTTCAATGAATTGAACAGGAAACTACCAAGGATATGGAAAGGAGCAATTTTTGAATTCTGTTTTTTCTTCAGTCTGAGTCCTCTGAGTCACTGTTCAAATCAATGGACACTTCCGAATCTGATTCTATAATGTCATCCTTCTGCTCCGTTTTCCCACGAAGGGAAGCTACTCCTGTCCTCCTACGCGAAGTGGCGGCCTTTTTTCCAAACGCGGCCTCACGACCATCACTGCTCTCCTCTTCTTCTAAATCGGTTTCCCCTGCCGTATCCTCCTCACCGCTACTACCTGAATCGTCATCTCTACCGCCACGCTTCTCATGACCACCATCACTATCCCCATCATCATCATCATCATCATCATCATCATCATCATCACCATCATCATCATCATCGTCATTACTCTCGTCTCCATCCCTTCCGAGAACCGCTACACGACCACCATGACTACCCTCTAATTCCTTGAGCTTCTGCTTCAGCTTCCACCTTTTCTCCCTTAGCTTTGCTCTCTCTATGCATCTATCCTCCTTATCTCTCTCCCTCATTTCCTCTCGCAAGCGGCTGAACCTTTCCTTGATCAGGTGCGTCGGCGCAGCTGCAGCGGCGGCCGTCCCCGTCGCCTTGCCATGCCCACCGTCGTCATCGCCATCGCTCCCATCACTCTCTTCGTCGTCTTCGCAGCTGGACTCTCCCCTGCGCACTCCCAGAGCTGCCAATGGCGGGAGCGCATTGCCTTTGTCATCAAAGATAAGACGGTTACTACCCCCAGTGTTGCTAGGGTCAATCTTCATTTTCTTCTTCTTCTTCTTCGGCTTCCCAGCTGCAGCGACAACAGCTCCATCAGGAACTGTTGTCCTACCCTCCTGTTCCTCGCCGTCCAGCTGATGGTCCTTCCTCTTGACACGTAGCAGTTCATCTCCCTCCTCTTCCTCCTCTCCCCCTCGTCTGGAATCTGTCTTTCCACCTTCATCGTCGTCGGCATCCTCGTTGCGAGCACGCAATTTGTCATACTTCTCCGACAAGACATTCATATTCTTCTTACCGAACAACTTGTCCATCTTCGTCTTCTTCGTCTTCTTCGTTGCGGATGTGGACGTTGCCTTCCCCTCCTCCTCCTCGTTGCTGCTCTCCTGTAGCCTTCGTCGCCGCTTGGCTGTGGGGCCATCATTCTCCTCTTCACTCTCGATTTCAGAACCAGATTCCGTTATCTTCTTCCCCCCGGAGTCCACCATAGCTCCTCCCCTCTCTTCCTCTTCTTCCTCCTCTTCCTCCTCTTCTTCCTCCTCTTCCTCCTCTTCCTCCTCTTCTTCCTCGTCCTCCTCTCCCTCTTCTTCCTTCTCTTCTTCTTCTTCTTCCTCCTCCTTCGCAACACCGACACCTGCTTTCCGCTCATTCTTCTCTTTCCCGCCATCCGTTGCCGTTTTTCCCGCGCCTTTTCGCAGGAACCTTATCCTCGGTGGATTAGGCAGCCCGAGCGATGCCGCGAATTCTTCCACCGGCAGTTTGGCAACGTCAAACACTTCCTTGTTGCCCTGCAAATGAATGGAGCGGAGGTAGGTCACGAAAGCTCTCTGAGCGAGGTACTTGATTTCCTGCTCTTTGGACAGTAGACTGACGAGAGCCGGCGTCACAGGCTGGAGCTTCGTCGGGTTCGGCTTGATCACGTTGACCGGGATCTTGGCATCCTTAAGAAGAGGGAGCATGGCCACCTCCGAGGGTTCCAGAAACATCAACGCCCGCCCGGTGTTCGTGAAGCGCGCCGTCCTACCGACCCTGTGGATGTACGCCGCCACGTCTTCTGGGCAATCCACCTGGACGACCCAATCCACTGCAGGAAAGTCGAGACCCCGCGCTGCAATGTCCGTCGCGAACAGCACAGCAGATTTGGACTCGCAGTACTCATAGAACACGATCATCCGCTGCATCTGCTTCATCTTGCCATGCAGGCACTTCAAAGGCACTCCCGGCTGGAGGCGCCGAAATGCTTCGTAGACAAATTTCACTTGCTTGCAGCTGGTCAAGAAGACGAGAATTTTGCCTCGCAGGTGAGACTTGATGAAGGACCAGAGGATGTCCAGCTTCTTGTGCAGAGGACAGATGATGGCCGACTGGCGGAGCTTGGACGGCGTGGCGGCGGAGGACTCCGCATGCACCGACAAGTACTCGGGGTCGCGCAAGCTCAAGCGCGCCAAGTCGCGCACGGATTTCGTCTGCGTTGCCGAGAACAACAAGGTTTGGCGGGACTTAGGCAGATTCGCGATGATCGCGTTCAGCGTCTTCGCAAACCCTAAATCGAGAATGCGATCGGCTTCGTCCAAGACCAGCATTTGCAAGTTGGAGCAGTCGAAGTTGGGCGTCTCGTCCATGTGCTGAAGAAGCCTGCCCGGTGTGCAAATTATGATGTTCAATCGATTCACTCTGTCCTTTTCCGCCTTGACATCTTTGCCGCCAATCAGCAGTCCACCGCTCATCAAGTGATACTTGCCGACGGTCTTGAGAACATCGAAGATCTGGACGGCCAGTTCTCTCGTCGGGGAAATGACCAAAGCTCCCGCCCCATCCATCGTGCTCCACCTCATCCTGTACAGCTTCTCCAGCAGGGGAATCACGAATGCCAACGTCTTCCCCGATCCCGTTTTCGCCGCTCCAAGCACATCTCTGCCGCACAACGCGTGCGGCACTGCCGCCCTTTGAATCGCCGTCATTGCCACCAGTTTCGCCTCTCTCAGCGCCTTCTTCGTCTTCTCGGAAATCGGCAGATCTTCAAAACGTTTTGCGCCTGCATAAGGCTTACTACAACTACCGCTCCCAACTCCTACCTCCCTTTCTTCCTTACCTCCCCCCCCTCTTGGACTTACCGCCTTCCTCTTCTGCCCAATCAAGCTTTCCTTTTGTGTCTTATTCGCTTGATCGGCCAGGTCCTTAGCAACAGCCACGTCACGGCCGCCATCTCTGTCTGTTGATGGGCCAAGATCGATAGCAAGAGGATTACTGCCCGGCGGAGGGGCACCGGCCTCGATTTTCGTTTCTAGCTGTCGGATCTCTTCCACTTCTCGTTGGAGTGCTGTCGGCATTCGCCTTCGATGATGTGCTCCTTTTGATCCTTTTCCTCCTCCCTTTCCTCCCTTTCCTCCTCCTCCTCCTCCTCCTCCTGCTGCTGCTGCTGCTCGTCGGTTGAAAGGCTTAAAACGCGGACGCCGACCACCATTGATCCTTCTCTCACCTACCGCCATCGCAGGTTGTCCTTCCTTCCTTCTTCTCCCTTCTTCTTCCTTCCTTTCGACCCTTTTTCCTTTTACCTCCCGAACCAATGATTGGATAGGAATGAATTATCTGACTGTACGGATGTAATTAACGCCCTGCAAGATCACGGTTTGTTCTCCTGTCAGAGCAGGCACGCTGTCAGAGACAGACCCTATCTTCAGCAACAAAGATAACGAAAAAAAGTATACCCTTTGATCAAGCCCTCTCACATCTTAACACCTACCCCCTCTGTCTCTTCCTCATGCCTCTTCCTCGTCCAAAACACACTGATTCCCTTCTCTCTCTCTCTCTCTCTCTCTCTCTCTCTCTCTCTCTCTCTCTCTCTCTCTCGTCTTATTTTCTTTTCTCCCTGGCTACACCCTTCCTTAAACCTCCTCAAGAACCTGGACACCTTCCTCTCGTCACTTCCATTTGCCTGATGGCCTCCTTGATAAAACGTCTTAATTACACCTCGTTTGATTTTTACGTACATGTATGTAAACTTTCCTACCGCCTGTCAGTTACGTTCGTTCTTATCTCAGGCATTATCATCGTCATCATCATAGTACCGTCATCATTATCATTCCAATCATCGTCATCATCATGTTCTCCCGTCGCCTCACGATCTATATGCCTTTAGATTGACTGACGGATCTCTTGATTAACACTGGATTGACTTAATTAACATTGGATTGGCTTAATTAACACTGGATTGGCCCACAACTATCAATCAATGCCAGACGCTAGCTTGGCTGCGATCGTTTCATACTCACCTCACACGTGCCAATCATGTCGTGCGCAAAATAACACCCAAACCAAAACACAATCAAATTCATTAAATTACCATATTTTACGCACTTACACGCTGTGCGGGCTAAGGCCCTCCGGAAGCCCAAGCAATGTGTCTCGTTAGGATCTGCATTCTTCTTGAACGAGACATCGAACGAGACACATTGTTCGCTCCCATACTTGTTAAACTCCACCAGTACCCGCATCAAACACGCATGTCCCACCAAATCAAGGTGATGCCATCCCGTTGGGTTTGTCGATCTGACGGTCAGGATTCACGCAGAGCCTCGTCAAAACCAGGAAGAGGCCGACCTGGCCGCCGGCGCCTCGCCGGACACTGGTGATGTTTTTTTGCTCTTTCGAATTGTAGCGCGCATCCATTTACATTCCAGACTTATCATGATCATCACCACAAGCATCAACATCATTTATCAGCATCAGCATCATCAATCATCATCATCAACCATCATCAATCATCATCAACCATCATCATCATCATCATCATCATCATCACGGGAAACCGCCAAACCTATCAAGATCGTAGTCTGCCAACAAATATGACAATCTCGCAAACGTTTTCCGACTATAATCTCCCTCCTCTCTCCTCCCTCCTCCCCACCCTTAGCCCCCCCTTTGGCTGCTGCTGTTCCACTCTCTATACCAGTCCTTTGATTTGTATGCACTGTTGTTAGAGACTAGCATATGTTCTTCCGTATGGTCAAAAGATTTACCGGATATTCCTGCAGATTACGGAGAACCGTATCTCGCTTGAAGAGTTGGAACCTCTTTGGGGGGGAGGGGCGGTTCCCTGGGACTGATTAGCAGAAATCAAACACTGAAAGGAGGAAACGCTTCTTCCTTTCTTTAAGTTTATATACACAGTACAGAAGTGCACAACAAGCCGATCACAGTGAGTTTTTTTGTGTTTTTCTGCGTTTTTTCGTGTTTTTTTGTGTTTTTTTGTTTTTTTGTGTTTTTTTTGTGTTTTATGTGTTTTTTGTGTTTTTTGTGTTTTACTTGTTATTCATGTGATTTTCATCGAGTTAATTGCAGATCTGTCCTATCTAGAGTCTTATCCAGTGCACACTCTGAAACCTTCGTTTGGGGGCTAAAGTGCACTTTCTGTGGAGGCTCTCTCTCTTTCATAATTACTTAACAATACCTCCTTTCCGATTCTCACCTCTCACCGAACTTCTTTTCTGATTTCTTTTTTTGTTTGTTCCTATTAAACTTTGCTTTCGTTTGGGGGAAACTGGAAGAAGACTGTAATAACATCTTTCGGGAAAGGAGGAAGAAAAAAAGAGGTTTGATTGCTCGGAATTTTGACAATTTCAAAAAACAATCTCTTTTTTTTCGCTACATACGCAGCAATTCTCACCGTCAGTAATTACTATTGCTTTCCTGTTCACACTGTTTTTTAAGTTTACTCGTTAATTCTTTAATTACTGGTTTATTTATTTATTTATTTATTCATGTATTATCAATATCCAACAACAACAACAACTCACACCCCGTACATCTAATTACGGCAGAGACAGCTCACATGTCGAAGGCTAGGACTCTTGTTTTCTTAAAACAGTATTCGCGTCGTCGATGACTTAGTCATTCCGGTGGCAAGTGAGTGACGTCTCCTTTTTTTTTTTCAATTGCCTAGCCCGCCTCCTTCCGTTGCCTTCTCCAGCGATTTAAATTGCCTGCCCCGCCTCCGTTAATTGCCTACCCCACCAATAGAACGAAGTCTCTGTTCAAAGGAACAAAAGAAAAAGAAAAAAAGAAAAAAAAAAACGAACGTCAAATTCTTTTGAGTGCAGGGTGAAGGTGCGCATCGTCTGATGCACCTGCACCCTCGACATACGTCCTTGCCGGGCCGGGCTGGGCTACATATGCCTCTCGCAAACCTGAGCGGGCTAGGTTTGCCTCCACAGGAAAAAAACATGAGTAGGCAAGGATAGGCAAAGTCAAGGCGGGTAAGGTAAGGAAGGAGAGGGTGATGCATACSGAACRGGRGGAGGATGKGGSRRRGRGGGGGGGGGGGGGGGRGAACGWGGGGTGGCACTCAYAGAGTCACCCCATTTCGCCGCGAYCTCSATGATGACACCATCAGGAGAAARACAGGAGGAAGAAGAGAGAGGAGACAGAGAGAGAGAGAGAGGGCGAGCGGAGGAGTACATGGAGAAGAACTGCCGGTAGTAAAAGGGGATCGAGGAAGGGCTCAATCAAGCAGGCACCCGCCGAAGAGACGGCTATGGAGACGGGAATAAGTTTCAAATCGTAGAATCCCCCCGCGCCACAAAGGCTAGTGAGGGTATACTCACACTTGAGACCTTTTCGATCGACTGCTTTCCGGTCGTAATTGCAGTCAAATGCATCCAGATCGGGCCGTAATTGCGGTCAATCACGTGAAGTACAGACTTACTGTGAGTACGCCCTGAGCTACAATAGAACGTTCCCGCGCAGAGCCGGCTATGGACAGGACGAAGCAGTTCACTAGAACATTCCCGAGTAAAGACACAGAGGAAACGGTGGCTCGAGCACCCCCGGGGAGCACCAAAAAATATGAAAAAAGGAAGAACGGTCGTTGACGCACCTCGCGGTATTGCCGAGGAGAGGCTGCTGCTATTGCGCCGTGCAAAGTCGCAAACCCGCGAACCGGCGATGGCGCGGAGACAATGAGAAAAATTTTGATTTCGTCCAGCGGCCTCCGATCTGAGGGCCGTGCACGCGGAGGGCTCCAGAAGGCCTCGGGAGGGCTTGCGGAGGGCCTTAGCCCGCACATCTCCGAAGGCGCAGCGCGCCACCGCCGCGCAAGATCTGCTCACGCTCGGGCGAGCCCTGTGGCCACGCACGTCTGACCTGGCCAGCAGCAGGGCACTCCGAAGCGCGTTTTGCAGGGGCAGGGGAAACACACCGAGAGTAAGAAGAGGGGTCGCTGATAATGAAATGACCCCAGTGGTGGTTTTGCTATCGGGATAAAATAGCAGGACCAGGCCTGCGGCCCTACTGCCTTTCCCATATGTTGGCCGCGGGCACTGTGCCGGCCCGAAAATCGATAGAGGCCGCCGATTCGATTTCGGCGGCCACCCTTCCGTTTCAGGCCAGCGTGTTGTCGAGCGCATCGGTCTCGCAGGGGGACCCTCCCGCCCACGTCGCGCAGGATCTGGTCTTATGGCGGTACAAATGGAGCTTCAGTAGCCGCCCCGGCCGAGTGCGCCAGCCATAACACTTGCGAGCCCCTATGACAAGATAGGGCCTATGCAAGGTATAACTTACCATCGCATAGGTGGATTAGCTGAGGGTGTTTCTCGTACGCTGTAGCATTGGGGGTACGCGCGGTCCCACGACTCTATCGGACCCGCACACGAATCGACGCACTGGGGGGCTGAAGTCCCAAGCCCGACTCGTCGTCGGTCGACTAGGACACATCCCACTCACCACGCGTTACACAACGCTAAAAACATAAAATTAAACACACACACAGAAAACAAAACGCTTCGAGTCCCTTCAGTATCCAACCTATAACCTTTTAACAAGAAAATTTGTTAGGCGTTGCGTGCGAGACTTGAGATAAAACCACGCGAACGCAGAGCTTACTCATATCGATTAGCAATGCAAGCACGCGCAAACAATCGCAATGATGACATACTATGTAATACTCACAAACACGTGGTCCTCGACGGTCTCAAGGGTCGTGTTTTACACTCAAGTATCAACTGACACGTGCTTTGAGGGGTTAATCTCTCGACGCTAGACAACCGTCAAGGCCGTTGGTCACCACACCCTCTTTTGCACCCTGCGGAGAGTGGGTGGTACAAAGATTCGGGTCTGTGGTGGCAGTCAGTTTTCGTGGCCTTGAAGGCAAGCTCCATCATTAAGGGTCTGGAAAGAAATCAAAGGTTTTGACTTTGACGGTTGACATGGACCCCAACGTTCAACTATAATAACTCTAAAAAACAAAGAATAAAAAAAGGAGGTTCCTTTTTTTTTCAAGACATAATTTGTTTAACCTTCACGCACGGTCACAGCAGGACGCGCAGACACTCAAGGTATATATAAATATACATATAAAGGGTTATAAATATCAGACGATCACTTCTCACAATCAAAGTGAGACTCCCTTCAACCATATATATATGTGATCGCAGACAATCAAATTCAGAGTCTGAACCACAAACATATCTGCAATCATATCAAAGATTCAACAAAAAGTCCACGAACTACACAGGGTCAACTTCAACCACTCTTTGCGCCCATACCCCTCGCTTTAGCCACACAAACCCGGATCCTCGTGGGATCAAGGTGAAACTAGTTCATTCCTGGATCGAAATGTCCAAAGAAGGTATGTGACACAAAACAGGTCAATGTCCAAGGCTAGACCATCAGTGTATGGAGAATGAAACTCCATAACACATTCTTACTCAAGATTCCTAATAACTTAAGCCTAAACCTATCTCTAAGTCAGTGTCCAATAAAAGACAGACCTATGGCAGAATTTCCCCTATGCAGGGTAGATCGCCAGAATCGTCACCTGTAAAAATATAATCTAACTCCTTTAAACTAAGAAAATCTCGGCGGCGCTTTCCGTAGGAAAAGTGTCTTCTCAAAATTTTTACTAGGTCGAATATAAGAACTGAAATAAAGTCAAATTTTGTCTAACTCCCTGAATTATTAAAAATTCTGGCAGCATCTCCTTGAGATAAATATTTTTTTTTTATTTATATTAAGTCAGATAAGAACTCAATTAAAATAAAAGTTAGCTCAGAAAATGCAGAAATTGAACTAACTCATATAGCTTTGACATGTGGCGAGCAGCTAAGGCAACTACCTATCAAACTGAAACTCAGATTAAGTAAAAATCTCACTCAGCCACATGCAAGTCCAAACCACAATGGTAAGTACTTTCACTAACCCAAAGTCAACCTTGTCAAACAATAGTTTATAGTTTTTCAATGATTTATCCCTTCTACCCAGCTTATATAGGGCATAAAGCTAGACCATGGAACTTAGGAACAATTGTCTAGCTCGGCCATTGAATATATATAAACACAGGGTGCCACGACTTTTCTCTTCTTCGGGCATGTGACTAGGACGTCCAACTTAGTACAATACCTAGTCGCCCAGAACTGTTTAAAAATTGTCAAGTTATATATATAGGTCGGTGCTTGCATGAGGGACTTGTCATCTAGGATCCGTGTTTTGTGTCGTTGTTTATTGCTCTCTGTTTTGTTGTATCTGGCTATCTCCTTCCTCTCTTTTTTGCCTCTTTGCTCTTTGGTTGTGTGCAAGTGGGTCGATATGACACATGGGGGTGGGGGCAGCCGCCGCTCAACCTACATCCACGTGGGCGACCTTGTACGCAAGAGGTTCTCAACAGAGGGAGTTATAAGGAAGAAGATAGAAAAATGAATTCATTTTTTCCTGATTTTCTTTCTTTCTTTCTTTTTTTCTTGTTTTTCGCTTTTGCGCTCTGATATTTTTATGACAATATATATATATATATATATATATATATGTACTTAATTTTTTAAGGTAGCATATGACTGAACCATTCAACACAAAAATAAGGTTCAGTCTGCCCACCAATTTACTCTTAGTTAATACTCTCTTCAATTTGTGATAAGTTATAGTCAGACCATCCAACTTAGGAACAATTGTCTGACCAGCGTGTTCATAAGTAGAATAATATAAGAGTGTAGACAAAATTTACCATTTGGTTCCAGCATGTGCGTGGCTCCAGACCATACCATCCAATCTTATGGAACAATTGTCCAATCCTTCGTCTGGTCCTTCCTCTGAATAAAACAAAAAAAAGTTTGAATCCTCCAAACTTTATGGAACAATTGTTCAAACTCCCTCTTTCATAAACAAAGAAACATCAGAAAACCCAAAATAAAACAAGGCAACCAAGCCATTCAAACTTATGGAACAATTGTTTGGTCCCTGAAAAACAAACACATACAGCCCTCACAAGTCAGAGCAATCATACCGTCCAATCTTATGGAACAATTTTATGCCAATTTAGGAACATTGTCCAGCCTTTGGTTGACCTGGTCAAACACAAGCAAAACCGTCTTCCTCACACCTTCCCCCTGATGCAAATTTTTTTTCACAATCTGACTTCAGGCAAAACAACAAAAGTGAAATTGAGATTGCGCATATATTATTTTACTAAAGTCTGACTTAAGTCTCGCGAGTCAAACATAAAGTCAAATATGGGATACATGCCCCACGACTTGCCTCACCCCCGATAGGTGGGTCTCCGGGTGGTCATATGAACAGCGCTTGGACATGGTTCAATCGGCCCTAAGAGACGTAGAGACCTTATATCAAGGGTGGCTGCTGCCCTGGCACCACGAGTAGGTGTTGACTGATACAACCAGCATGATGATGGTCGCGGACGTCGAAATTCGCTGACGAGTGTGTATCACTCCACCTGCCGCATCAACCAGTCCCTCCCCTGTTGAAGCATGCGAAGTATGCTCTGCCGTCAGGGCAACTCTAACTCCTTGACGGTGGGCGGACATCGGGCCTGCTGCGAAGCCGCAGCATAACCCTCGGCAAAGTGGGTCCTAGTGTGGACCTTCGGGGGTAGTAGCAAATATTCAAATGAGAACTTTGAGGACCTAAGCGAAGGCGGGTTCCAAGGGAATGCCCGCTGCAGCCTGTACCGTGGCGGGCCTCCGCCTGGTGCTCCCTGTGCCCAAACACAGTCCCCATCCGTCGAGCCCCCAACTGGCACGCTACCACTCACACCTCTCACAACAGATTGTGGCTGGCGGACGGGGCCCTAGTAGCGACCCCCGACACCCTGGTTTTTTTCTGCATCGTGGGCTAATTACCCACCAGCTCGCATGCACACTGAGCTTCCAGGTCCGGGTTTCAAGACGGGTGGGTAGGGGAAATTTTGCCAGCATCTAGAATATGCACGAACCCTCGGGCCCACCGAAAGAGGCTCGTAAGCAAGATCCTCGACTGCCACTACGACCGCCCGTGTTCGGCAATATAACAACTGACTCAGGCCAGTCAGTCGCGACGCCAGTCCCGGAATTGATCATCAACAAAACATGGGTGTGGCAATAAGATAAAAGAAGAATAAAACAAAAATGAAACAAAATACAAAAGATAAATGGACAGGGTCATCGACGCTGGCCTTCAGCGCCGCACGCCCTCAGGCCACGCAGGGTTGCACCCCACCGTCGACGCACTGCACGCGCCACTCACCCAGGCGAGGACCTAAGCTTCCTCTCGCGTGCCCTCCGTCAAACGGGCAAGGTTGCTCTGGCAAGGTTGCTCTGGCATGTCTTGCAGAAAACACGCCAAATACCCTTGTAAGGGTATTTGGTACGACATCGGTGTGTTGCTTGTCCTGTTAAGGGAAGTAACCTCGCTCTATCGCTCTGCATGGATGGATGGAAAGCGATGTATATTTGCATGCTCTAGCAAAGGATTCTTTTGGCTCTTGCCCATTCTATAGATGGGGGGGCCGTCAAGCCGGATTGGCAGTGGAGAGAGCAAGAGAGGGCGTAGGAGTGTATGGTTTACCTGTTAGTACGGTAGAGTTCACCATTCAGTTGCGCACTGTGGCCGCCACCTTCGTGATCAGGCTGACGACCGTACTTGGGCTCATCACGGGGTTCGTTTGTTGGTGGTCCCCCGCCCCCCTGCTCGTTGTTTACACCCCTTCGTTAAGCTGTCGAGATCGCAGGTGCTCGACAAGGAAGTTATCCAGGTGCACTGGGGTGGAAGGAAAAAAAAGGAGGCGGGCAGTTAGAGGTA